GGGCGGGGCCGCCCCTGCCGGGCCAAGGCGGCGGGACGAAGTGCCTCTCCAGCCTGTCCTCGAGACCCCAGGGTCTGGTTAGGGACCGGGGCCCTGGTGCACGGAGCTCCCGGGTCTCCTGTGATCCACACCCAAGAGAGAGGGCCGCGCAGGAGACCCTGGGGGCTCAGCGCAGGCACCCGGTTACCCTCCGCTCTGACTTGTGGCCCAACGTGCTCCGGGCAAGCCTGGGGGTGGGTGTGCCGGCTTTCTAGGGAAAGCACCTGAGGCCCTGAGGGGCTGAAGCCCATCCACCCACTCCCACTCCCCGTCCAGCCACGAGCCAGGACTGGGGGTTTGCACTCGGTCACCAGTGTCCCCCGAGGCGGGCAGCTGCCCTGCCCCCTGTCCTTTCTCCGCCAGCAGTGGGCCACACCCAGGGTCGGGGCAGAGGGTCTCCCACGGCGGTAAGACAAAAGCATGGACCCAAAATGTATGACAAAGTACAAAAGTCCTGTATTCCAAACCACGGTCACAAGTCCGCACTGCAGACAGCTGGGCCTACAGCGGCCTTGGCTCCGTTGTAAAAATGATTACAAAGAGGGACCTCGGACGGGTGGGGAGCCGGCTCAGGCCCTGTCCCTCCACCAGCCGCCCTCGAAAGGCACATCACTGTAGGAGGGGGGACGAGGTGAAGAAGGGGCCCCTCTGGACTCAGAGCTCTGATCACCCAGTCCCAGGGCGGACACCCTGGTGGCAGGCTGCATTGGTTCCGCAGCTCCATCTGGGCAGATGCGAGGAGGCCCCACCGATTACTTCAGGACTCAGCTGTCGATCTGTCTGTCTGCACGGCGGCACACGCCGTCTACGGCCAGGGAAGGGGCGCAGTCTCCTCTCTACACCATCACCTCCAGACACTGCGCTCCGGCCCCCGCCCCGGGCCGCCCGGCCTCCCTCACTTGTGGGGGCTCAGGGCCCTCACGGGCGCCCCCTGCACGTAAGCCAGGACGGCGTTCTGCAGGAAGCTAGCTCTCTGGGCCTCCTCGTCGCAGATCCGCGCGATCTCCACCTCCTTGAGCCGCAGCCTCTCCCGCAGGGAGGCATTCTCGCTCTCTCTGTCCAGCAGCGCCTCCCGGTGGTCACTTGAGATCACTGCGGAGAGGAGCCTCCGTGAGAGGCGCCAGCCACCACACGCGCCTATGGGAGGGCGGGGCATCCGAGACCCTCTCACCTTTCAGCTGGCGCTCCAGGGCGGCCACCTTCTCCCTCAGCCCCTCCTGGGTCGTCAGCTCGGCCTGCAGGCGCCCAATCTGCTCCTGTAGCTCCACCCGCACCCGGTTCACCTCGGCCACCTTCTCCTGCTCCTTGTCGCTCAGCTCCTGCCAGCAGGGGTGGGGTGCCATCGGAGGTGGGTGTGGGGGTGAGGTGCGGCTGGGGAAAGCCTCCCCCGCCCCCTGGCCACCCCACCTGCTGCAGCTCCTCCAGACGCCGCCGCAGGCCGTCCACCTGCAGGCTGAGCTGGCTGGCCCTCGCCTGGGCCTCAGTCACTACCTGCTTCCGCTGCAGGCAGGCATTCTGGGCCTCATCCCGCGCCTGTGCCAGCAGCCGGAGCTTCTCCTCCAGGTGGGCCAGGCGCTGTTGCTGGGGCAGAAGGGGCTAGTGGGCACCCATGGGCCCTGCCCTGCCAGGCACCGGATGCCCTGAGCTTGCTCAAGGGACCGTCAGCAGGGGGAGTGATAGGATAGAGCTTTTATCTACAACCTGGCTGCCCTGCCGTGGCTCAGGTCACCGCTGTCCTGTCCTGGGCCTGTGCCCCTTGGACCTGCCTCCCAAAAGTGCCCCTTCCTGGGCTGCCCATCTAGTCCCAGGTGGACTTGGCCTGACAGTGCCTCCCTTAATTCAGCCACAGACTTGAGGTCACATGCCTGCACTGGTCCAGGGCTGTGTTCAAGCTGGGGCCAGGCTGGCCGTGGACACCGCGCTGCCTGCTCGGGGCACTGGGCGTGGTGCTGGGGAACGGGCGTTCTGATTTCATGCGTGCCCCCACCCCGCTTTGATGGGACCAGGACCCAGAGCTTCAGTCTGCTCAGCCCCCGGCAGAGTCCAGCTTGGTGCCCAGACAGCCCTGCTCCTGACACCTCGGCCCTGGTGTTCCTGGGTCCTCTCTCATCTGTAAGAGGACTGGCTGTGCGTGGACACACCTCCTCCAGGCGGACCTGGCTCTTGGCCTTGATGAGCTCCTCCTCCGCCTGACCTCGATCGATGAGTGCGGCTGCCTTCACGTGGCTCAGCTCCTGCACGGCAGACCCACCCACGGCCACCGCTGGGCATGGCCCTGCACCGCCCTGACTGCCCCGCCTCCCCTGCACCCGGGACTCCCCGTCTGCCCCCACCCCAGCCACTGGCTGGACTTCCCCCACAGCCTCCTAACGGTCACGAGGCTGCCTCTACAACCTCCTTTCCTGGCAGGGTTTTCCATGGCAAAGGGCACCCGAGGCCACCCTAAGTCTCTGGTCTCGGTGACATTGAGGGCCCCCGCTGGGCCCTGACGAGGCCCTGTCCACTTCTCGGCTGGCGTGCAGGGACATGCACCTCCTCCAGGGTCAGCCTCGTGGCCTCCAGCCTCTGCACCCGCTCCTGCAGGGCCCGCTCGCTTTCCTCCACATGGCGGGCCATGTGCTCCACCTGTGTGATGCCAGGGTGTGAGGGCCCCCAACCCACATGGGAACCCCTAATCCTTCTGGGAAAGGGCTGCCTCGAGGGCTTAGCAAGGAGGGTGGAGGGCATGACTTGGGCCACCCAGGTTGGCAGGCCCAGACCATCCAACCCGCGTGGGCATGGCCCGAGTGGCTCGTCTGTAGCCTGGGGCACACAGAACATCTGGGGTCCCCCTCAGATCCCCACTAGGAGGTGCTAAGCCTGACATCTGCCCAGACGTTATCCCAGCACCCAGTGTGGGCAGGAGAATACCCATCTGGAGACCCATGCCATGGCATCCCGGGGGTTTGGGGAGAGCAGAGAAGCTGGTCAGCCCCGGTGGAGAGGACAGGCACCTCTCTGACACGCAGCTGCTCTGAGGTCTCCAGGCTCTGCTTGAATCTCCTCTTCTCCGAGTCCAGGCGCTCTGGAGGCCCAGTGGGGAGGGGTGGTGAGACTCCCCGAGGGGTCCATGCTAGCTGCCCTCTCCCACCCCTGGGGTTCCCGAGGCCCACCTTCAGCCTGGACAGCCCGCAGTTTCAGCTCAGCCACCGTGGTGGTCAGCTCCTGCCTGGCCAGGAACAGCTGCTCCTGCAGGGACTTCACCTTCCGCTCCAGCTCATCCACCTGCAACGCACGCCGCGCTGTAGGGAGCTACCGGGGCACCCAGAGCAACGCCTGCCCACCCGGGCACCCCGGCCCCCAGCCTGCCCACCTCCGGTGCCCCGCCCGCGGGCCCGCCCCTGGCTCCCCGCCCCCCCCAACCTGGTTGCCCAGCTGCAGGTTCTTCTCCTTGGCAGCAGACACGTCCCTGAGGAGCTTGGACTCGCGCTCCGCGGCTTCCTGCAGGGAGGTGGGTGAGGAGCGACGCGGTCACCCCAGCCTGTGCACCCCCGGCCCACGCCCCGCCGCCCGCCCGGGCACCCACGCCCCGCAGCCGGCCTGCCCACCTGCTGCTCCAGCCTCCGCTCCTGGCACTGCTTCTGCTCTGCAGCGGCCAGCAGCTCCCCCAGCTCCTGCACCTTCTGCTCTGACAGCGCCAGGGCGGCCTCCGTCATCTGTAGCCTGTGGGGGGCAGGGTAGCCGCCCTGCCCAGTGACCTGAGGGTCCTGCGGGCCATCCGCCCCCCACACCCTCAGTACCACTCTCCGGCGGGCTGGCCCTCCCGGCGAAGGACCCCTGGGCCCTGGCTATCAGTGGACCCCGCCCACCTCCACGACGAGCTCCTGACACCTTGCATGCGCCTCGCTGCCCTCTCACCCTCGCCTGGCCCTCATTTAGACCCCATCTCAACCCCTCCTCCAGGGAGCCTCTCTGGATTGGCGCCCCGGCCCACCCCGTCTCATGGGCGTGGCTCCACCAGGGCTTGTAACTGAGCACCTTGTTTGTACCATCCCCTGGCTCCCCAGAACATGCCCCCTCAAGCGCTGAGATCTCTCAGTGCCCCTGCGCCCCCCTTACTTGGCCTTGAGAGCGTTGATGATGGAGTGCCTCTCGTTCAGGGCATCCTGCAGCTGGCCCATGCGGGCAGCTGACGTCCTGTGGGCAGAGCGGAGGATCCACCAGATACCCGACACAGGAGCCCTCGAAGGGCCCTTCCGCCTCAGCAGCAGCTGCCGTTCCCTGTGCGGGAACTGCGCTGCGGCCAGCTTCCTCGGGAAGCACACACTACAGTCACAGTCTTGCAGTTGGGGACGCGGAAGTCAGTCCACCGAGAGTCAGAGCAGAGACTAGAACCCAAGGCTGGGACCCTGAGACCGAGACCCGCCCAGCACACACACACCCCTCCCCTCCACTCACCTGTTGCTCCGGGCTATCTCTTCTCGTTGCTTGTCAATGGTCTCCATCAGGCCCACAAACTGCGGGTGGGCCGAGCCTGTCAGGGTGCACAGAGCCCTGCCGGCCGCCTCACCGCGCTGGAAAGAAGGGCAGACGCCCACCCGCGTTCCCGGCCCCCTCTCCCCACTCAGAGGACGTATCCCCACACAGCGCGCCCAGAGGCTCAGCCCACCCCGAGAGTGCCCAGGGCAGGGAACTCTCAGCTCAGGGGCCCAGAAGGGAGGAGCTGGGGTGCGGGGCCTGGTTGGGGCAGCGCCTGGCCGCGGCTGGGGAAGACGCACCTGCTTGGACTTCTCCTCCCGCAGGCTGCGCACCTCCTTGCTGAGAACGTGGGTGCGGGCTTGGCTCTCCTGGAACGCCGCCTGCCGGTCCTGGTTGTGATCCACGGCCTGCTCTGTCGGAGGGGCGCATGTTACCCACAGGGGCGGGGGCAGGGGGCTGCTCGGCGTTGGGGCAGCAAATGGCTGAGTGAGGGGCTGTGGGAGGCACCTTCTCAGGCCTACCAACCAGCATGCACCGCCCTACACAGTATCTGGTGGGGGGCGGGGGGTGGGGAGGAGGGGACAGGGCCCATGGGGGAGGCGGGCCCATGGGGGAGGCAGCCCCATGGCCAGAGAGCTGTTGCTGCTGTTTTCTTTAGCATTTCCTTTTCCCCCCTGATTTCCAGGACAGGCTATTTTTAAAGTGAGTTTTCCTGTCCCGAGCTGTCCCCTTTCTCTCCCTGGAAGATAGGTCCTGCCCCACTCCCAAACGTGTGTGGGCTGCCCATACCCACGGCTCTGAGAACGTCACCAGGGATGTTGTTCCCAGCCAGCTGCAGCCTCCACAGGGTTCTGTTGCTGGGGAAACAGTTCACCAGGGCCCGGCCCCCCAGGAGGCCCATGTTGTTCCAGCGCAGGTCTGCAAGGAGACCTGCTGTCAGGATAGAGCATGCCTGGGGCAGGGGTGCCCGGGGCAGGGGTGCCTGGGGCAGGGCTGAACTGGCCCAGCCCAGACACTTCCCAGGCTTCCTTCAGGGCACATTGCTGACCGGCAGAAGTCAAGGCTGGGGCGCCCTCTTCTCCCAACCCTGCCCTTCAAACCCTCACTTTCCGGAGAGGACAGAAGGAAGAGCAGGAGGGGCTGGGAGAGGCAATAAGGTGCAGACACAAGATGTTCCAGTTCCTGCCCTGGGGCCCATGGCCATCCAGAGGCTCCAGGCCCAGGCCTCACCCAGCTGCTGGAGGCTGGAGTTTCTCTTCAGGGCCAGGGCCAGCTCTTCGGCCCCCTTGTGGTTGACCTGGTTGTTGCGGAGGTCCAGCTGCCGCAGGGTGGTGTTGGCCCCCAGGCCCGTGCAGAAGGTGGCGAAGGCCTCCTCCCATGAGCCCAGGTTGTTCCACTCCAGGGTAAGGCTGCGGGAGGGTGGCCATGAAGGTGCAGCCCAGAGAAGCTCGCTGCCCTCCCCACCCCCGGGGGCCCAGGCTAAAGGAGGGGACCTGTCTTGGGGCGCTCTGGTGGAGGGATGGAGCCTTGTGATCCATCTAAACCACCTGCTCCTGCCAGTGCACATGGCCTGGAGGATGAGCCCTTCTGGTCACAAACCGTGTCCTCTGGGGCTGTCCCTGAACCAGGCAGAGAACAGGGGAGAAGGCGTGGCTGGACGGCCCCTCACCTCTGAATGGACTTGTTCTGTCGCAGGAGCTTCCCCAGCACCTCAGCCCCCGTGCCACAGAGGTTATTGCCCTAGGACGGGAGAGGAGAGGACAGTCACCTTGCCACCTGGGCCGGGCCTGTGGGATTGCCCCAGCCTGAGGCTAGCTCTGGACAGAAGGTGCAGCTCCTCTCAGGGACCAGTTCCACTGACTTTCACTGGGGCAGGGGCTTCCTGGGGCTGGTTCATTAAGCCGCATGTGTGAACACCCGGACACGTGCTCACACACATGAGTTTGGGGGCCGAGTACCAAGAGCACTTACAGACATGATCTCTGGCCAGTGTCGAGTCCCCGGATCATTGGGACATCCCGTCCCCCTCTATCCCAACCTCAGGGGACATGCCTGGAGCTCAGGCGCACTCACAGGACACCCCACTCACCAGGACACCCTGTTCCCCTCTATCCTGGCCTCAGGGAGCATGCCTGGAGCTCAGGTCCACTGGAAAGGACACCCCACTCACTGGGACACCCCGTCCCCACTCTATCCTGGCCTCAGGGGCATGCCCGGAGTGCAGGTCCATTCACAGGGACACCCCATACCCCCTCCATCCTGGCCTCGGGGGCGTGTCTGGAGCGCAGGCCCCTCACCTTTAGGTCCAGGAGCCGCACAACGGTATTGGAGCAGAGCCCCTGGAGAAGCAGCCTGGCCCCTGCGGGGAGGAAGGCAGTCCGCCTGCGGCTCAGTCAGGTGGGAGACCCCACCCCCTGCCAGGCAACGAGCGGGCCGCTGACCCTCAGTCTCACTGGCACGGGAGACTCGCCCAAGTCAGACATTAGGGCTTTCCTGTCTTAAAGAGAGTACTCCTCTGCCCCCAGGTTCCAGGGAGGAAGCTGCTGCTCGCTGAAAAACGCGCTACTTTAACTAAGAAAGGGGGTCGCTCCCGAGGAGGGGTCAGGTGGTGGGAAGGGTGCTGGTGTCTGACTGCGCAGGACTAGCTGTGTGTGGGGACCCCCAGCGGAGCAGCCAAAGTGGTGGAGGCTGGGCCCAAAGGTCGACCAACCCCAGGCCCCGGGAGCCCACCGGCAGAGACCCCGGCGCCCACCTTCCTCGCTCAGCATGCAGTCGCTCAGCACCAGCTCGGTGAACAGCGTCTGGCTCTGCAGTAGCCAGCCTAGGGCCCCGCAGGTGTCGGCCGTCAAGCTCTGCGTGGCCAGGTCCAGCCGGCCCCTCCGGGGCTCCTGCAGCTGCCGCAGCACGGCCTCCTGGGGCTCGGCGCCGCGCTCCTGACACAGACGGCTGTAGGCGCGCCGGAACTCTTCCATGTCCGGGTGCTCGCGGGGCTGTGGGCGGCCGGCCAGGACGCAGGGGGCCCTGTCTCCTCTAGGGCCCTGTCTAGGGTCCCCGGCCAGCTCAGTGCGGGATTCTCGGGTCGTGTGCGGGAGATGCTGCCCCGGCAGGCACGGGGGGTGGGGGGAACAAGCGGAGTCGATTCTCGAGGCAGGAGAACAGGGTGCGGGGCGCCCACCGGGCCAGGATTGGGGCGCCGCCGGCTGGATCAGGAGGGCGCTCAGGGCTGGGGCCTAGCCAGCGGGGCCTGTGCTCGCGCCCCCCACCTCCCGCTCTGCGCCCCGCAGCCGCAGTCCCCCGCCCAGCCGTCGCGCGCGCGGGCTCCCCGCCCCGACTCGTTCCCTGTGGCGATCTGCGCGGCCGCCGCGGCGCCTCAGTATCCAGGAAGAGCGGGGCGCACCGGGAAGGGGCCGGTGGGGACTACAACTCCCAGGGGGCTACGCGCAGAAGCGGAGGGTGCTCGGCGCTGGCCAATGAGAAGGAAAGGATGGGGGCGCGCTCCGGGATCATTGGCTATGGGCGCAGGGGGCGGGCTCTCCAGGAGAGCGCGCTCCAGGTTCATTGGTTAAGCGCACGGGGCGGAGCTCCGGGAGGACACGCTCCGGGTTCACTGGCTGGGGGCGCGGGGCGGGGCTCTGAGGCGCGCGCAGAGGTGACGGTTATGGAGGAAGCCGGCGTCGGATTCCGTAAGGTGAGGGGGCCGGGGACAGTGGGGCTGCGGAGACAGGATCCCGGGTCAGCGCGGGGCTGGGGTCGGCGGGGG